GGGCTATTTCTAGGACCAATAGCTTGAAATCGGGCATTTTAAACTTGTCGAGATTTGTTACATTCATATTACGATTACTCAAAGCGAAGAATGACATATCTCGTTTGTCACTATTCGATAGGCTTTCGTGTACGCCTTCTATTATCCTTGAAGCCTCGCACGATGAAGCAGAGTTCACCAGGGATGGCAGAATTTCTTTATTCCCGAAAGGTAAATTTGTCTACTTGAAGGGCAAATGTCCATTGATTCGGATTTGGGCAAAAATCTTACTGGCTATCTGAGTTATTTTCGAAATATGATGAGGGTCATCCTCACGTTGCCTGCTGTCTTCTGAACATATGTCGACGCTCGACCAATGTTGATATTTCGCACAATGTGCGAAGTTCGACATTGCCACTGTGGCAGCGGTTTTGCCCCCGTCCGTTTAGTACGTTGTTCGGCATTGAAAAGCGAGATATCGGTTTAGAGATTAACGCTGATCGGATAACCAAGCCACTACAGCGTTATTACAATGCCGAACGGGACCACAGGTGATCTAACACGTGCCAAATCGCTCGTAACGTGCACACCAGCTGAGCCCAATCGTGAATTCACTATGATTAATACTGATTCGCAGGTTACATCAGTGCATTACTATCTGTGCTGTACGTGCAATTGTGATTGTTACGTGCCGATCGGATGGCGCTTACGTGACTGTTGGCCGTTCGGTGCAGACGAACGGGCGATGAAGCGTGTGGAGGCCTTGGCGTGCTGAGTGAAAAACGCTCGTTTTCCTTCACGTTTACTTCATATGAAGATCACGCTGGAGACGCGATTGAAAAGCGACGACAGCCTCAGAGTGCCTGCCATGCCAGTGTCGCGTCGCCGGCGTTGGTGATTTGGTTAAGTTGGCCGCGACCCGAGGTATGCATAAGGACGAGTTAATAAGGGTGGTCATTTTTCAGCTGTCTTGTCAATGGCCACTCTTGGTGAAGACATCGCGAAGCATGAACAGCAGTGGACCGAGAAAAGGGATCACTACAAAGTCGGTCATCGCGTGTACGAGACGGACCCGTGTCTCAGAGTGAGTGATCCGCTCGTTGCGTGCTCGACCTCGAAGGTCATGAACCACCGAATAGCACGAGGGCCAGTGGGTCGCATTTGTTGTTTATCTGTTGCTTGAGTGTTTGGAAACTTTGCGATATTAGCATCAGGTATTCGCCCTAACCAAGAACTGTGCCTCGTGTTTTTCGTCCGAAAAACATATCGCATTCGTCCAACACATTCGCCTGTTGGGTACCGTTCGCTGGTCCTTTCAGCGACCTTGTTTGAAACTGAGAGTTAGCGAGTATCAGACAGTTTTGCGAGTTTCGCACGTTGCGTCGGGTGCGCTGGCCAGAGAGGACCTGGGAGCAGTGAAGGTCCGACAAGCTATCAGACCGGCATTCTGGCTTGATAGATCGAACCTTGCGATCGCATCCGCACGTCGTCGTCCTGTTCTACCGACAGGTAACACACTCGTCGGCTGTCGAAACTTAGAAGCATCCACTTGAGCCGTTGTTGTTCGGTAGTGCTTTGAAAAACAATCTAATGTTTGCTTTTGTAGGAGAAAGAACTGTCGTTGAGATGTGTCCAGGCCTTCAACGGCGACAAATCGTTCTGCGCTGACGAGTTCTTGAATTACACCACTTGCAGGACAAACCTGGTAACAATTGCTCGAATTTCGTAACGATCGACATTCACCTCTGAAGAGTGGTTTTGTTTTCAGCTCAAGTCCGAGACATCGGACTTTCAGAATAACAGCTGCAAATAACTGAAGTGACGATGACAACGACGACGTCGACGATGAGGCCGGTATTCAGCCGATGCAGTTCCGTCACCATGCCTTAACCGATTCGGCCTTACTTCCTTGAACGTTCTGTGTTGCGTTAGGTTCTGTTCTTTGTTTTATCATAACGTCGTTGAACTGAAACAAGTGCTGTTATTTCGCAGACGGCTTTGTGTTTTTACTTGTAAGCCTTTACAAAACTACAACCGCCTTCTACGAAAGCACAACTGTCAACCGTCGTTCGATCACCGGCGTCGTACCTCCGCCCGCACACCAGCCGTTGCTCTCTCCGTACGACCACGACTGGCCAAAAACTTTCTCTGAAACACGGTCGTCAGTGCGGCCGGAACAGTGATCAGTTATGAGTGCAATTAACTGAGTTACGTACCCACAACTCGCGGCAGCGGGCGTAGTTCTGGAACTCGTCACTGCAAAAGCCCTTCTCGCCGTCGAACTGCAGAATACAGCGTATCGACTGCTCGCGCTCCTGCGTACCTCGTCCGTCATACATGGTCATGCACACGAAGGTGTAGCTGTCTCTGTTTTATGAATGACTGTACCTGTAGACAGTGATCATTGTCGTAGACCCGGTGACCGAGTTTGTGCAGGTGTTTCTTCGAATTCCAGCCTTCCTTGCCGTCGATCGCCGCCGCTGCCGTTTCGCTGTCCACCTTCGACCGCGGCGACGGTATTGTTGAATCCATTTCCGAATCCGACCTAAGAGAAACGGTCTGTGACAGCCGAACTAGCGAAGAAACCGTGTAAAGGCGGTCATCGGTGAAGGAGGCAAACTGCGCAGGACACGCGACACGTTCATCTCTTTAGTCACACTGATTTTGTCAGCCACCATTCGGTCGTCCGTGATCACTAGCAGATCCGGCGACCGTAATGCCCTACGGTGAGGTAGAGCGAACATAGCTCGCTGATTCCGCACCTCACCACTCATCGTGCATTTTTAACGGTCAAACACAGTAAAACTGGTTACTCTGTTGTTTATGCTCTGACAGTCCTAAATGACGAAAACAAAAACAACATTTCATCGTCCATGGTTCTTTCCAGACCTGACCATGGATGCGCCGCCGTACGGTGGGGTGAAGCGCGGGTGAACACGGTCTGATTCCGTCCGCACCTCGCCTTTCCGTCCATCTGCTGTTCTGAGCAGATCCCGTTAATTAATGTGGCCAGAAGAAACGAACCCAACTGATTGTTCACGAAGCCATTCCACCGACCACGGTGCCTCGCGAATCCGACTACGGCCACGCCGTACAGTTCTGTCGAACAAGCTCAGCTGATTGCTGACCTCACCTGGTTGCCTGGTCGAGTCTGTTCTGCTGTCCTCATCACCGTGCCTGTTGCCATTCCATATGACATGATACGGTCGGAGCATCCAGCCCGCGGTTCGTTGTACAGTACGAACCTGCCACAGCCGTCAGCACGCATAACGTGTCATTAGG